ATAATAATAATGAAATAAATAAAAAATAAAAACAAAAATTTTGACTAAAATTAAATTAACTTTAGAGTTAGAGGCTTTTATTTTCGTGGCGCTGCTTCCTTCCGCTTGTCACTGCGTCAGATGTGACGTATATTCCGGCCGCCAACGGCGACAGCGCTTTTTCGCGGTAAAATGAAACAGATCATCTGAGGCGGGTCAGATTTACTCAGAGTTCTTGGATTTAACAGCCAAACTCGACCTTTCTGCTGTAACTGGAGGTTAGCGGTCGTGTTGTTCAGACATTCAGGCCGTCGGTGTTGTTATGCAGAGAGCCGAGCAGAGCTAACGTTAGCCACAACACTGAGCCTCCTGACGTCCCAGTTCACTGCAGGCAGCACAAAACATGGCTCTAGTAACCGCAGAGGAGCTGCAGTCAGAGCTGGACATGTTCAGCATCCCCTGCCAAGATGAATCCGTCCTTGACAAGAGTAAGTAGTTATAGCTGACGGTTTATGACACATCTCAGCTGGACTGAAGTGTTGTTGCCAGAACTCTGTTAGCCAAACAGCTAAGTTTACTGTTGCTTCAGCCAAGTAGGATATACTTTTGTAATACTTTGCCATATTTAGAGTTTTCTGTTGTCATGAAACTATGATATGTATGTGCCTGTATGCCTTTAAATGTCTCCTGTATGTATGCATGTGTATAAGTTCGTAGTTATAGCACATTTATTGTGTCTCTTGTTCACACTGGACCTGTTCCTGTTTCCCTTCATGTCTCCTCTGTCTCAGTGTTGGAACAGTGCATCTGCTACCAGCTCCAGGCTGATGAGATGCTGCATCAGTGGGTGGCCTACGGCTCCAAAAAAGGTGGACCGAAGCTCACCATGGACACCCTGGACCAATTTGAACATGAGGTACCATTTGGTTGTTTTAGTAGAAAGTGTTGCATGTAATCTGGAATGTCTTGGGGTTTGTTTGTTTGTTTGTTTGTTTGTTTGTCCTTACAGTATGTGTCTATTTTCTTGTCAGGTTTTAAAGAAGAGGACCAAATCCAGACAAAACTTCAGAAAAGAAGACAGTCATAACAGAACCAGAGACATTCAGACAGTACATGATTTGTATCCTTCACAGTAAACTCTCAAAAACAGATGTTCAGAAACTGAATCTGGTCTTTCCAATTAGTCATGTCCCTTTTACTCTTGGTAAATTTCAGCCCATAAAATAATCATAGAAATGTTAAACAAATGGGTAAATACAATTCAGCTCATGCAAACACAGTGAATAAAACACTAGCAGCTGTAGTGGAATTAGCAGCAACATCAGTGACTCAGTAAATTAAGTGCTTCAAGTACATTAAAAACATCTTTTCTTTTGCAGTTATTTAAAGATAAGATAAGATATGCCTTTATTTATCTCACAGTAGAGAAATGCACATTGTTGTCAGCAGCAATACGCATAGAGATACACACATACTCGACAGAAAAATGTACATATAAATATAAGAAATAGTGCAAACAAGTATAAAAGTGCACATAAAAGGAGAATCATGCAAACAGAATGTGAGAATGGGCTTCTGAATGGGGAAACCTGCAGAGTGTTACGGGATATGTGCTGTTCTGAAACCTGGAGATTCTAGTCTTAATGTTTTGTTGTTTGGTAAAAGAAGGAAATTAAAAATGTTGTTAACCAGATGAGAAGGGACTTTTAGAACTATGAGGCTCTTCTTTTGTAATCTAGCCTTGAGTGTCTGAAGTTCAAGAGATTCTGATTCAGGAGAGCACGTCCAATAATCATTCAGTACCTCCAAACGGCTTCAGTGACTCCTCTGTTCAATTCACCACTTGTAAAGTGAATCCTCCTGCTGCAGCATCGAGTTGTGTATCATGACGTCAAACCAGATGTCAGTTAAGTTCATGATTCACAACCACAAAGACACTCCAAGTGTTTAGCAGCTTCGGTTTGATCAAAAAGCTCACACGGTGTGAGCAACACCATATTGTCATAGTAACATGCTGCATTTGGTTAATTCAAGTGTCCAGCTGCACCTTCTTAAGTTAGTTTGTTGGTGTATGGTAACGTTGTTGCTCTACAGACCTTTACAAAGCTTTTCTCCAGAATCAAAGTCGAGGAAGAGGAGGAGAGCCTCTTAGACGCCTACTCTACTCCTGCTAAGGTGAGGTGGTGCTTAATGCTGAGCTTCTCTTTCCACACTGTTCACTCTGAACTACTTTTCTGTTGAAAGCTGCATGTTTATAGTTAAGTTTTGTGTTGCCTAACAGACTTTCTGCAGGGTGAGTTTGACTTTTCTTGGTTTTCTGTATCAGATCTTGCTCAATAACTGTGTTCTGCTCTGGCTTTTTTTGTTTCTGTACAGGGCTCTCAGAAACGACCACTAACCACCCCGGAACACCCTCATTCCAAGAGGAGTGCGGCTCTGTTAGCCAGCCCAGGCCTGCTGCTGTCTCCTGCCAGCTTCTCTCCCAGGTACGCTACAGCACATGCAGTCAGTCTAGGAGTTGCTGGGAAACCACTGAGATTTTAACAGCATCGTCTCCCGTTGCCATGGACAGCATCGGCTTGTGTGGTGATAGTTCTTGTTTAGGGAGTTATCAGCTTGAAATCTTTCAAATTAAGAGTGATTTCGACTTTTGATTGGCCTTTGTTGTTCAGCTTTTTGTCACAGAAGACTGGCTTGTTGTTAGTTCCATTGTTGCTCCTTCTTAAATCAAAGAAAGGAAAAAAAAAACAGTGAAATTAAAGCTTAAAATTTTGAGCTGGGCATTTGTAGCAGAATGAATAAACCCTGGCCCTATTCCCATCTCTCTCTGGAAGCGCTACACCCTCACAGAAGTACAGCCAGCGAGGAGGGAAAGGTGAGGTGGTGGTCACGTTTGGGGCCGTGCAGGGCACCCGTTGGGTGGGCAGGAAGAATCCAGGTGCGGGCGTCCAACCAGAGCTCCTGGAAGGCCCTGACGACTCCCTCCGCTGCAGCTACAAATACATGTTCCAGAGGCTGCGAGATGTTCGAAATGGTAAGTAGCTACACCAACTTATTGGTGGTCAAAAATCTCTTTTCCCGTGGCACAACACTGTTAGTTAGTTTCTGTCAAGCCTAATGTAAACAAGAATGTATGACATATATGACACATTTAGAGCAGCTGGACATTGTAGTTCATATTTTTGCGGGTTTTTTTTTTCCTTTTTCCCCTCCAGTGTTGACGGAGAAGATTGAGGAGTTGGGAGAAAACTTAAGGACTCACTTCAGCATTGAAGAATTCTCCCCCGTCTCTCTGCCTGCCCAGGTACACAAGTGTTATTGCTGTAGAAAACTCATAAAATCATCCAAGTTTAAGTTTGGGATTCCTCAAAGTTAAAGATAAATAGTAGATACAGTTGTGATTATTTAAAACAGCAATCAAATTTAAATTTTAGATTCTTGTTTTAGATTTGAACATGCACTAAATAGTAAGGCACTGTATGTGAATCCCTTTAAGTGCAATTTATATAAAGTGTATTAATTGTAATTGTAGAGTCGTTTACCAACTGCTTACTTTGTTGTGTTCACATCTCTCCACCTCCAGGACAGTATAACCGTGTTGGGTCAGGTTTGCTGCGACAGTAACGGCAAACTCAACGCACAGTCGGTCCTGTTGGAGGCAGGACCAGAGCAAGGTGGTCAGCAAGTACCTGTTGACCTGTCAGAGCTCAAAGAGTATTCCCTGTTTCCCGGTCAGGTGAGCTAAAAGAAAACATTTGTTTTTACAGAACAAGCTGCAAACGGCTCTGTTCTGAAACTCTCTTTTTTCAATTATAATAGTAAATATTTTTGACTATTTCTATGAATTCAAATATCTATAATGCTCCACTAATTATTGCATTAAACTGTGCAGCCATCTGCTCAGTACATCGTGGTATTAATGAACACTCACCAGGCGGTGGCCTCTCCTTTGCCTGCGCACTTAAGTCTGTGTGCAGCAGGTTACAAGACCACCAAGAGTAACAGAGCATGCCAAGGACATGGGCTCGAGACTAACCCAGAGTCTGACCGAGAACTCTGACAAACGTAAAACAATTCCTGCATAAGAACAAGTGTCTGCCTCTAGCAAAGGGAAACCTCAATCAGCAGACACATGAAGCAAGTTCAAGTGCTTTATAATAACTTGTTCACTTTTTTTTTCAGCTCTACCAGAGTAACCCACGTGTTATAAAACATTGATGTTGGAGTCTTTCTTTTGTTCAGGTGGTAGTGATGGAGGGAATGAACGCTACAGGAAGAAAGCTGGTGGCTTCTAAACTCTATGAGGTCAGCTATAAGTTAACAAGTTTCTCTACGTTCTACAATTAGGCCGGTTCAGAGTACCTCAACATTTAAAAGAACTTTTAAAATTGAGTCTGTTTGTGGTTCTTATGGTAATGATCTTTTCTTTTTAGGGAGTTCCTCTACCTTTCTACACTTCTAATGTTAAAATGGAAACTGATGAAGGTAAGGAGCAATGCTGGTTTATAACTTATAACACATGGAACACTTTATCCTGGAACTCTGCTCACAACTTTGTTCAGTGATTAAATGAGGAGGATTTACACACAGGAAGCTTTCATGTATAAAAGGATTCGTAACTGTGCTGTCGTCTTGTGTCGAGTAAGTTTGTTTTCTCCTCACTGCCGCGCTTCATCTCTTGTAATTGCAGAACCAATGAACGTCCTGGTGGCCTGTGGACCCTACATGCCCTCTGACAGCCTGACCTTTGACCCTCTGCTGGACCTGATCAGTGTCATAGTCAGGGATCGTCCTGACGTCTGCCTGCTGGTACTGTTTCCCTTGATGCTTTCATAAACCCTCTTTTTGTATTTTACAACCACAAAATTCTGATTCTTGCTTCTGTTCTCCAGCTGGGCCCGTTTGTGGATTCAAAACATGAACAAATTGAGGTAGGAATGAAGTGGACAGCTGCTAGTTTAATGTTTTGCATGAACCAGTCTAAATTCTTTTTGTTAGGTGTGTTCACTGCTTGTGTCCAACTCTACATATCAAGTAGTTTGATCCTGAATATGTGTCACCATCTCTGATCTCCAACTCTCTCTCAAATAGAAAGCCCAGGTGACTGAGACGTTTGAGGCCATTTTCTCAAGATGCATCGAAAGCATTGTGGACGGCACCAAAAGGTACGTCTCATCTCCCCCAAAAGGGGGCCGGCAGCTTCCATAAACTCTTTAGATTTCTGGTGAGGTCCCACAGACTAGTTAAGTTATAATTCAACACTAACAATGACACTTTTCACTTTCTACTCTCCTCATGCGATCTTGTATTTTGCCCAATTCAGAAACCTTTAACCACATTGAAGCCTTGTGTTCTCTTTCATCCAGTGTTGGCTGTCACCTGGTGTTCGTGCCCTCTCAGAGAGACATCCATCATCATTTCATCTACCCACAGCCACCGTTCACGCTGCCAAACCTCAGCAAGGACCAGGCCCAGGTCAGACTCACAAACACCTGACTCTACTACTGTACATGTAAACTAGATAAACTGCTTCTGTTCATCACAAAGGAGGTTAAGAAGTTTGTGTTTTTTTTCTTTAAATCTCAAGACCTCAAGTAGAATCCTACGGCTGATTTTCACTTATGACTTGAGCCGTATGTTAGCAAGATTCAGGCAGAGGAACAGAAACAAATGCACTCTGACACATTACGATCGGTCTAGTATAATGTGTCTCTTCGTACTCTGCAGCGTGTCACCCTGGTCCCTGACCCCTGCACCCTGCTGATCGACGGCGTGACCTTTGGCGTGACGTCCACAGACATTTTGTTCCACATGGGTGCAGAGGAAATCAGCTGGTGAGGAAGACTCAGAATATCTCTTTTTATTATCCACATACTTTGATCCAGCAATGAAGATCAGTTAGATATCAATTTGAGACGAAAATGAGTTGATGATCTACATATTTAGTGTTGCAGGCAAGACAGTTTTCTTACATTATAAGCAACCTTAATATTGCATATTATTGATTTTACTGTGTATTTCAATGAGTACCTTCACTGTACACACTGTTGAAATTAATGTTGTGTTGCAGTGGCACTGGATCGGACAGATTCTCACGCATTCTGAAGCACATGCTGACCCAGAGGAGGTGAAAGTCCTACAATAATGTCCCTTTACTTTACTTTTTTTTTTAAGTTGAACACCATTTATGACTCCTTTGTCTTTACTTCCAGCTACTACCCGCTGTACCCGCCTGTGGAGGAGGTGAACATGGATTACGAGAAGTTCCAGAGCTTCGGCCAGATGCCGCTTACCCCTGACGTTCTCATCATTCCCTCTGAGCTGCGCTACTTCGTAAAAGTACAGTAACATTTTTCACATGTCTAAAAATTTGGATTGAAAGCTTCGGTGAAGTTGAAACAACTTCTAAAATCTCCCCGCTGTCCTCAGGATGTGGCCGGCTGTGTGTGCGTCAATCCCGGTCGGCTGACCAAAGGCCAGGTGGGCGGGACGTACGGCAGGATGCTCATTCAGAGCAGCGCTACGCCAGAGGATGGAAAGAGAGTGAACCCCTGTTTGACTGCTCAGGTGGTGAAAATCTAACAGGAGTAAAGACTTTAAACTCTCACTGTCACCCAAAATGAGCTGACTTAACCAGGACCAGTTTTCTCTCCAGGTGTGCTGAGGAAAGCCACAAATAACTCACTGTACTGTTTAGCAAATTTCCATGTTGATTTATTTTTGTATTACAGACATATCAGAATGCGCTGCGCTCTGGTTGGTGGTTTCATAACTTGTGGAATATCAGTCTCTCAAATAGAGGAGCAACAATGTCTTCAATAAATTATCGTCACTCTTTGTACAGTTTTCTTTGTTCTGTAGAGTGTTATTGTTGTTACTCTGTGGTTTCATTCAAAAGGTTTAAAATGTTCCTTTTCTTCAGTATCTCATTTACTCTGTTTGGCCGTGTATTAGGTTGCTACAGTGTGCTTCTTAAGGAGGAAAATTAAACCTGCTGCAAAACCCTACTTCAAACTGTTGTCCAAAAATAAAATAATTGTTTAGTTTGTGTAAAGCAGTCTGACATAGTGGAGCTATTCCAGTTTAGATTGCAGCATAAAAACCATATTTAAAGAATGAAATATTAATATGTGAATGAGACACATATTCCAAATAATCCAGCACCACTAATGAGAGTGAATGAGCCTTTCTCTCCACCTCTTTGCACCACAATTACTTTTGCCAAAAGAGACACATAAGCAAAGCTAAAGATTAATTTAACAGGGAGCATTTTTTTCCCAGATTTTCTATCGATACCTCAATAATGTAATCAGGAATTCTTGTGGCCTCAGTAATCGTATTGACAGATATTTTTGCACCATTTGTATAATCATTTCCAATCAAAGGGTCTAAAAAAAAGTTAATATTAACACACTGTTGTTTCTTCCTTCATATATTGTTTTAATATGTAATAAAATATATTACTCTTACATCATTTTCTGGAAGATCAAAGTAGGTTTCTGTCCTTGAGTCTTGGGTTTAGGCAGTTTAGTCATAAAAGTCATCAAACTCATCAGAGTTGTTTGGGAGATTTGTCTTCAATGTGTGTTGCTCCACTTGGAAAATCTTCACGCTGTCAGAAAACACTGGAAAACAAATCAGAGTGAAAATCTATAACGTATTTTATGCATCTATGTTGTCTTGTTGTTGTAATAACTAATTATACTATACCTTTGGGCTTCTCCTCAGCTTTCAGCTTCTTTTCTCTAAAAGATATGTAAAAAAAATAAATAAATAAATCACATTTCATGATCTAATTTATGCAGATGAAGGGAAATACAACAGTACTTACTCCTCCTTTGTTTGCTCTTGAGGTGCGAGGAGATTCTCAATATCCTCATCACTGCATTCATTTGAGTCGTCGTCACAGGATCCTGTTTTGCTCTCCTCCTCCTCTTCCTCCTTCTCGTCACCCTCATCATCCTCAGCTGCTTCTTTAGGAATAACCTTCACCTGTATAGACCTAAAAAAGACACGATTGCATTAATCAAGTGAGTCCCACATGTGAGGAGTAATATTTAATTCCTCTGTCATCTTACCTCTTTTCCTGCGGTGAGATGATGCTGTCGTCTGAATCTCTGTCCTCTGGTTTTCCTGCTTCATCCCACCTGCTCTCCTCTTCCTCCTCACTCTCTCCATCTTCTTCTTTATTTGATCCCTCCTCATCTTCTCCTACATTGTCCTCACTGCCTTTGCTTCCATCCTCATTCTCCTGTTCATCTGATTCCTCCTTATCTTCTATTTTGTTCTCACTACCTTCACTTCCATCCTCATCTTCCTCTTCATCTGATTCCTCCTTATCTTCTTCTATCTTGTCCTCACCACTTTCACTTCCATCCTCATCTTCCTCTTCATCTTGAGAGGACGAGGCAGAACCCTGTTTTCTATTCTCACCGTCTTTTTTCTTCACACTGTTTGACTGTTCTTTATCATCTCCCTGATCTTCCATCTCCTCCTCCTCCGCTGCTGTCTCCTCCTCTTCCTCTATTGTATTCTTTTTGGCACAAACCTCCCCATCATCTCCTTTTTCATCTCTGTCTTGTGGTTGCTCATCTCTCTGGCTGTTCTCTTCATCTCCATCATCTTCTCCCAGAATTTTATTTCTCTCTCCTTCGTCCTTTTCTTCTGAGCTGCTTTCCTCTGAGCCGCTGCTCGCCTCCTTTTCATTTTCATCTGCATCCCCATTTTCAATCTTTACACTGTCGCTTCCCAGTTCCTCGTCCCTCTGGGATCCTGACTCCTCTTTACAACTCTCTGATTTGTCATCTTGACTTTGAATCCCCAATTTTTTACTTTTAGATTCCTCACTCGACCTTCCCAGCTCCTCACCAGTATGCTGACTCTCTGAGTCATCTCCCTTGCTGCTGGTCCTTTCCCTTGCCAGCTTCTCAGATCTTGGTGATCCAACAGTGAGCCCCCCACTTCTCCTTGTCCTCCTACTACTGTTGCTATTGCAGTCTTTCTCTGCTGAGGCATCGCTTTCTGAACTTTGAGCCGCTGTGGCTGAGGCAATGACAATAGCACTGGAGGTCCTGGAAGACCTGAAAGAAAAATGGATGCAAAAAAATTCTACCTCAAGTTCTACCTTCAGGATAAAAGAAAGTATGTGAGAAGAGAACAGCACTTTTGGTTCAGGTACATTATGCTTTTCTCTACTGTGTGTATTACAGTCCATAGCCAAGATAACTTTATAACTTATAGTAAAAATTAAAGTAGCATCAAGTGGTTGCAAGTTTCTTTTAAATGTGCCTCATTCCTCTGTTGTCGTTTTGCACTTTTCTTGTCTGTCTCTATTATGACTAATGAAGGCAAAAATGACACACACAAAAAAAAACAAAAAAAAAGTGCACAAGCTTGGGCCTGACATACAGTGGATTAACATTTAAGAGTGCATCCATGATAGGACCAGGCGGGGGTGGCACAAGCCATCTCACCGATTTCAATGAAACTTTGCCAGTTTAAAGGGGTCCACCCAAAACTACTTCAG